GATGGAAGAAGCAAGGTTCACTCCAACGTCCTAGCGCCTTTAAAGGTTAGCAAGTCCAATCTGATCAATCGTAATTTCTGTGAACCATATCGGTCAATAACTTTGGACATCGTAACATATTGATCGAATCATGCCCACAATGCTGATGGTTGAATATATACTTTTCTGGTTAGGGACCATGGTAGAAAAGGGTTGATCGCAAATATAAAGAACCCTTTTTAATGATAAAATGCACGCCAAGTTTGGGATTTGTTTCAGACGTTCTTTCGTAATTTTTAGGACTTGGATGATAGTTGCCCAATGAATTTAAGATTTCTTTATCTATTGTAGGGGTTCTTCCACTGCCTGATACTCGAAAAGCACCCGAAGCACTTCATACTCGAATGTTGGTAGTACTCATGGGGTTCTTCATAGCCATTTGGGCTTTCCTCCGTTCACTAGCATGCCGGATGAGTGGGAAGAAATTGTCTATGGGGAGTCGAAACACCCCAGAATTATTGTCCTCTGATCAAACAGCCACGGAGGAGAATCGCTCCCCTTCACCGATTGCTAAAGTTACGGAAGCAGAACTCCTCTCGAATCTAGTAAAGAGGCTGGGTGAGCTGGAGGAGAAGGTCGATACACTTCAATCGAAACCATCGGAAATGCCATACGAGAAAGAGGAACTATTAAATGCTGCTGTCTGCCGTGTCGATGCTTTAGAAGCAGAGCTGATTGCTACCAAGAAGGTATACTGCTAGACTCTTTATCTTCTCAGTTTTTGAAGCTTGAACTTTCTGCTATTTAATCATTCATCCTCTTCACATATGAGTCACTTGTCTTTGTTGGGTCGGCTGGAACTTTTCGTGTGTGTGTTTATTGTGTATGGACGTCTAGTTTAAGTCGTAATTTTACCGAGCAGGCTCTGCACGAAGCATTGATGAGGCAAGAAGAACTGCTCGCTTACATCGATAGCCAAGAGGAAGCGAAGTTGCGGGTAAGCTAATATACTTACTTCTCCCTCCCATGTTAACAATGAAACCCAGTTTCCTGATTGATGTATGTCCTCCTTTCATTCATTAGAAAAAGAAATTTTGCTGGTAATATGAACATCTCATCTCGGTCTCGGGAGAGAGAAGAGGATTCCGCTGAGTGCAGTTGGCTCTCATGTATCGACCACGTCGGAGTTTAAAGATCCGTTGCTCGCCGCCGTTGATCTAACTGTCTTTATATTTCAATCAATGATGTGATTATCTCCGAAGAGGAGGAAAACGCATACACAGTCTGTGTGAAGAAATTACTACAATGTGAAGCTTTCTTGTTTGATAAGAATATGTATTTACGCTGTAAGATTTTTGTTCTGTGTTTTCACCTTCATCGGAATGAAATGAATTACCACAGTTCAAGATAATCGCGTTCCTTTAATTTATGATTGAAGGAGAAATTAAGTGCTAATATTTCGTTAAGTTTAAACGAACGGATGTTACCGATATGAGTATAGTTCAATTGATATAAAGATTAATATAAAAAATTAAAATACTTTATCTAAAAATGACAGAATTTTTTTTACCTTCTAAAGTAGAAAAATGATCGTTTATTAAATTAGAAGTGTTAATATATTAAGTTAAGCGGATGTTATCCATAATATGAATATAGATCACGTGATGGAATAATTGAACGATCGGGGTTAAATAAAAGTTGAGTATTATGATACATGCTCGTGATTCAAGCAAAATTAAAAAAAAATTATTTTTTTAGATAAAAAATAATCTTTTTTATTTGTTTTCTCTCTTATTATTTCATCGTATCATCCAATTGATGATGAGAAAAATGCAAAAATAAAATAAAATAATAATAATAATAATAAATAAGTAAACTTCTGATATATCGAAAATTCGAACTGAAAATTTAATTGATATCATATATGATTATTTTTTTTCACGAGTACAATATCTTGGAATGAGACATTTAATCTTATAAAAGATAATAAGTGCCTGATCCACTGAGCTAAATGCTCGGATTGACATCATATACAATTTCTTAAATCCAAAATAAAATTTTAATATACAAAAAGTGACGTAATAATACCAAATAAAACAGTCTCAAATACATTCCAAAATACAAACAATTGGAGAGAGAGATAGAGACAGAGATGGAGAGAGAAAGAGGAGGGAGAAACTCTTTCTCTCTCTACCCTATCTTTCTTGTTCTTATTATTATTTTTTTTAATTTTTATTTTTAGCTCCTATATATTTGGAACTCCAACAACGTTAATCACATTCCCCAGCGGAATGGGTTCTGCAAAAAACACACAAAAAAAAAACACAAAATCAATAAGAAAATCACAAATTAAAAAAAAAAAAATTCATTAGTTAGCTTCATTACCACCATCATCTTCTTCTTCTTCTTCTTTTCGATGTAGCTGCTGAGCTCGGCCGCTCGAGAAAGAGATTCCTCGAGCGCCTATAACAAAATTTCAATAATCATTGTGATATATCAGTTTATGCTTATCTCGCTTATTGCTTATCGTATTAAGAATATGAATTTAGTAATGAACGTTCACCTTTTTAGTTTCTTGCAATTCTTGTTCCAAAGTTTCGACTTTGCCCAAAGCAATGTTGAGCATTTCCTCCTTATCAGCTGGCATGGCGGCCGGTTTCATGTTGAGGACATTGACCTTCTCTTCGAGCTCCGCCATGCGCTTCATCATTGTCATGTAGTCGCTAAGAGGCACGGCGGCGGGGGGCGGCAATGCTGGATGTCTTGGCATCGAACCGTCGTAGTAGACCGTGCTGCTGTAGATGGCTGCCTCTGTGAGCTTCTTTGGCATGGTTCTAGTTAGCCGGACCATTGTCACTATTCCCATTACCACAGCCATTATTCCTCCAACTAGGTTGTTGCTGAACCCATCTGGGACTTTGTAGTTTTCATGCACTGCAAATGGGTCTGATCAACATTGTTCTATCAGCATCCCTATGTTCATGTTTGTGAAGAACATTCTATGGTTTAAAGAACATACCTTTGGATAAATTGTATTTTTCATTTGAAATTGCCCAATTTTGATCCATGTTGTTATCGGCCACAGGGACGAACTTGTTATATTGATACTCGCAATTCATCTTTTTCGCCATTTGAACCTGAAATTTACAACAAAAACACCGAAAATAATATCATAATCTTTTGAAGAATCTGTTGAGGATTGTTGGGAGAGAGTACCACGTGGCTAATTTAGGAATGATCATGAGTTTATAAGTAAGGGAAACCCAAAACAAAGCCATGCTCAAAGGGGACAATATTATATTGAAGATCCGTGATTCCTAACATGATACCAGAGTCATGCCCTTAAGTTAGCTATGTCAATAGAATTCTCAAGTGTCGAACAAAGAGTGTACTTTATTCGAGAATTCCAAAGGAAGGAGTCAAGCCTCGATTAAGAGGAAGCTGTTTGAGGGCTACATAGACCTGAGGAGAGGCTCTATGGACAGAATCATCCTTTTTCTCAAATGGGTTTCTTTCAAATTCTGGATGGAACTTACTTCCTCTGCTGCTGAAACAGGGGACGGTTTTGCTTGCTTTGGGGACCTGCAAGACTCCGCCGCCGCCGCCGCCACCTCCTCAGGAGCTGATTCTAAGTTGGATGAACCACTTATCTGCAAGAAAATGAAAAATTAAAGGATTTAAAGAAGAAAAAAGATGGGTTTTGTTAAAGTTTTGATTTTGATCATCATATTATTGCCTTGGTTGCCGTGTTGTCATCTTCTGAAATGGTCTTCTCTTCAACGTTGGATACTGACCTCCTCCTGCATTTTCCTTCACCATTTTGAACCATCTGTGATAATTTCATCGTTTTAGTTCTTGATTCTGTAAAAAACACGACCATGGAAGATGGGATGTTTTGAAGTAACCTTAATGATTTCTGGGTCGTTCCATGGTCCCTTGTCGGATCTCATACAGCCACCCTTGTCGGCGCAGGTGCAAGAACCTCCAAGAAACTCGGGAAGTTCACTGATTTTGACAAACAAAAACACATTCAGAGACAAGAAATGGGTTTTCTTTGATTTCAAGAACGAAAAAGAAAGAACCCCACCTAGCATCGATGATCTCGAGCAATTTGCTCTGATACTTATTGCCAAGAACATTGATTTTAGCTGTCGTTTTTGGGTCAAGAAACGATTTCACAGTGTTCCATAGAAGCCTGAATCCAGATCCAGCGTTGATAATGAACATTCTGTTCAATGTCTTTAACCAGCACAAAACAAATCCCACACTGTCTCAGTAAGCAAATTAGGCCTTAATGTTCCAAAAGTTTTGAACTTTTTCAAAAGGGTACCTCAGGATAGTTGTCACCATCAACCTTCTGCAGCCTCTGGATGAGTTCCCGTGCAGATTTGTTGAAGCTCTTGAGTCCCTGCAGGAAAATTCCACCGTTATCGTTCAAGACGATCGAGAAAACAAGAAACAGATACGTTACGAATATTGAGGATTGTTGGGAGGGAGTCGGGCATTGGCTAGTTAAGAATTGATCATGAGTTTATAAGTAAGAAATACATCTCTATTGATACGAGGTCGGTTGGGGAAGCCCAAAGCAAGGCCATGAGTCGTGATTCCTAACACGGTATCAGAGTCGTGATTCCTAACATGGTATCAGAGTCGTGATTCCTAACATGGTATCAGAGTCGTGATTCCTAACATGGTATCAGAGTCGTGCCCTTGACTTAGCTCGATTAATAGAATCCTCAAGTGTCAAACAAAAAAGTTGTGAGTTTCGAAAGTATAGTGAAAAGTGACTCAAATGTCAAACAAAAAAGGGTGTACTTTGTTTGAGAACTCTATAGGCTTTATGGGAGGCTCTAACAAAGAGAGTAATTTGTTCGAGGACTCCATAGGGTCTTAAAGAGTGTACTTTGTACGAGGACCCCATAGGCCTCAGAGGAGGCTCTACAGTGTACTTTTCGAGGAGAGGGTTATTGGGAGAGAATCCTACATTGATATGAAGCCAAAGCAAAGCAATAAGAGCTTAGGCTCAAAATGGACAATATCATATCATTGTGGAGAGTCGTAATTCCTAATAACGAAATCAGAGTTTTCAACATACCACGCCTTGGACATCCAAGATGGTCGTGCTCTGATCAATATGCTTCTTAGCAGCAATTGAACAAGCCGGGAACTTCATAACAAAGGTCCTCTCGAACTCACGGACATGGTAATTCACGTATCTATCCATCGTCGTCACTTCCAAGAGCTTGGTCGAGTCGACCATCCCGAGCCTTTCGATGTACACGGGTCGTCCATCTTTGTCGACTCCATGATGACCTTGTGGATAATACTTCAACACGTCGTCTATCTCCTTGAATTCAAAGTCCTCCATTATTGTGTCGGATCCGAACTCTTTGCGCCATTGGAGCATGTCCGACCACATTTGCTTTGACTTGTCGATGTCGAACTTTCTAGCTCGCAAGAACCTGAGCATCATGTGATGGTCGTCATGTTTTGAAGGGAGGAGCTCTTCTAGTATGAGAGCTTGGCGGAAGGCGTCTACTGCTTGTAATTCCTCTGCGTCGATGTCGTCTTCTATGGAAATTGACATCACTCTGCTGCTGTTTCTTCTACTTTTCTTCTTCATTGAATGTCTGAACTTGTTTGAGGCGTTGATTGCTTTTTGCTTAAGAGATGCTAGCCTTGTCTTTCTCTCTTCCTCCGACATCTCGACTTCGTTGGCTCCTACGACAAGAAAAGCAACAACATTTTAGAACAATGGCTCCTCGAGGCTAAAACGCATCCACTAGGAAGAGGTTTCTACATTAGGAATGTTTCGTTTCCGCTCTCTAACCGATGTGGGATCTCACCATCCCCTCAAAGTTTTAAAACACATCCTCAACGATTATAATCCACCCCCTTGAAGGCCCAGCTTTCCCTTTCGGGTTTTCCCTTAAGGTTTCATCCACTAAAGAGAGGTTGGTTTCGCCCGATATCTAACTCTTATACTATTTGTAATAGCTCAAGCCCACCAATAGCAGATATTGTCTTTTTGAAGGATGTTTTGTTTCCCTCTCCAACCAACCTAAGATCTCACATCTTCCTTCGTTACTCGCTCATTTAGGAGATAGAAACACACATACCTTTACCCGGTCGGTCGAAAGGATCGGACGACATGTTGTCACACATAGCTTGCTATCCTAAGGGAGGTAGCTGTGAGTGGAGACAAGGATCAAAAGGGTGAGAGAATCCAGCACGCTTAAATGTGTGTACAACTCCAGAAAACAGAGCCCTCTCTCTTTGTGCCTACAACTTCCACGTTAAACACATCAAACCCACATTAGAAATCCCAGAATGACAGCAAACAAGACACACAGTGCACAAAAAGAAGAAAGACCTTCAAAACTCCAAGAAAACAGGACAAGAAAACAGGACAAGAAAACAAACAAAATGGTGCACAAGATCTTGTCCCCTTCTTCTTTTCTCGCTCTGTCTCCTAAGAAGAAGAAGAAGAAGAAGAAGAAAGGTTAGAGGAAATACCTTTTGACAAGATGGCATTTGGGTGCGAGAGGTCGATAAGAAGAACAAATGTTTACTCAAAATAGGCCTCCAAATGGGACACCTAACACACATTGACAAAGTCTCCCAAGAAAATCATAGAAAAGTTTCCATTTTTACATCTTCCAATGCCGAAACCCAAGCCACTCCATCCATTCTTGTTCTTTAGCTGTCACCTAGAATAGCTTCCTTAACTTGTCACAAAACGACTCTACTTTTAGTTTATCTTCCATTTTGATACTTGAATCATTTGATTCATGTATAAACAGTGATGTACACGAATCAGTATTGTTATGCCTATATAAATATTTGTCTAGCATTGTTTTGAGTGGTAGAGTAATTGTCATTTTCAATTTACCTGAACGCAATTGGAAGGAACTTTGTAAGAGAGATTTTGTAGCGTGACAATGTGAGATTTAGACTGGTAAACACTTTGGTTATAGTGATTGTCTACCATCTATCAGTGGATGTAGGGGAATTTCTTATCTTTGAACCACGTAAATTTTTGTGTCTATTTGTTTAATTTTTGTTTGTAAGTACGTGAGTGCAGTTGATCTTGGTGCGGCCTCCGCTAGAACAATTGGGTACGAAAAACGCTATTTTAGAAAGGTTGACCTAAATAAAGTCAATTGGTTTGCATGTGATGATGGAGCTCCACATATTGAGCCATGAGCTGTGAATCCATAAAGAAGGAGAAAAAAGATGGAAAATTTGTATTAAACAATTGAAAATAAGAAGTACCCTTTATTCTTAAGAGTATTATTGTTTAGAAAAATGGTTTCTTTTATAAGATTGTGGAAGGCAACAACACTTAATATTCATGATTAGTTTATGACATTTGTTTATGACAACCATCCCATGATCGTTGAATGTCATGTTTTTTTTTTTTTTTTTTTGGACATTTTTGTCTTTTTCTCTTCTAAATTAATAAAAATATTTATAATAAAAAATACATATACAGCTAATATTCTGATTAAACTTTTATTGTGTTTTTTTAAAATTTTTTTAAGACTATATTTAAGAAACACTCATAAAATTTTAAAAATAATCTTCCCCCTTTATTTTTATAAAAAAGAATCTTACCGTCAATATATGAACGAAATCATCTATCGATATTTTATAAATTATTTCTAAACATTTTAATGTTACTTTTGAAAGTACGAGTATTTTTTGAACGTGACTGTGACAAAAGGTATTTTTTAATTGTTTTAAAAAAAGTTTAAACGTGTCTTTCAAATTTTTTAAAAAATTTAAGAATAATAATGAAATGGTGAAAACTCTAAGCTATTTTTGAAATACTCTCTTAATGATATTTTTTAACGGTAAAAGTATTTTTGAATATATATATATATATATATATATATATTTTTTTTTTTNTTTTTTTTTTTTTTTTTTTTTTTTTTTTTTTTTTTTTGCTTTAAATGTATTTTTTTTTTTAATTTAAGGGTATTAATTCAAATATTTTTAAGATAAAGTCAATAATATTTTTATTAATTTAGTTTAAAATATTGAACCAGAACTATTTTTTTTAAAAAAAAAATTATTTGCCTTTTGTCAAAAAAAAAAAAAATTATTTAACTTTAAAAGGTTTCAATAAAAATTAAAAAATGTCCTCTAATACAAAATATATATATATATATATATATATATATATGTTATTTAATTTTTGGAAACCGTAAATATTTGGTTTAAAAAATATTTAAACATTTTAAAAATATTTTTAAACTTTAAAAATGTTTAAATAATACCAGGTTTTAAAAATACATTTTAGTTTTCAAAATTTTATTAATAGGTTTAAAAAGAAATTAAAAACATCCTTAAACGGGACGAAGATATGTCATTTCCTACTTCTATTTAATATAATCTAAAAATAATTTATTTCAATAGAAACCATAAATTTGATACACAATAAAAGGATACGATAAATCTTTTTTATTTATTTTTAGGTAGTGAACGGAGTTCTTCCATTCATTCTATCCTATTCACTGGTATTTATCACTGATACGGGAAAAAATTTGTACTTTCTTTTGTCCCGGTCCATGGTCTGAACGAGTCGCACATACACCCTAGTACATGTTCCTTGACGCTGAGGGCACCCCCGAAGGGCGGGCGATTTGGTGATATTTCTGATTGGTTGTCTTGTGTTTCTAATAAGTTGTTTAATAGTTGGGATGTTGAATTGTATACATAATGAGTTGGTTTAGATCAATCCTAACCGGATGGTCGAGCTAAAAAATGACGTCAACACAAAGAAAAAACTGGAAGATTTATTTATGATTAGACAAAATTACACTTTTATCCATCGATCCCTTATTCTTCTGATAAGGAATAATTAGTCAATTCAATAAAATTATGTTTGTAATTTCATGATCCAATTTTTTCAATTTCGAACTTATTTTTTGATACAAATCACGATAATTGATATTTTTCATCGAATCTTTCCATGATTAAATCGTTTTAAGAAAAAAAAAAAAGTTTTTGATCGGAGTATTAAAAAAACAGAAATATCCCTTAACTATTAACGGATTAATAGCACTAATCTATATCCGCTACAATGCAATTATTATATATAAATTGATCTGTTATCGAGAGATTGGGCTAGAAAAGAATCGTGAAAATTCGAACCATTTTCATGTGGCAACTAATGAAATTAGAAAAGAGGACCTATTTTAATCAACTAATTAAAAGTTTTTTTTTAATATAATGGTAAAGAATAAAACAAAAGTAGTATATATTGTTAAAAAAAATTAAAAAAGTATTGCATTAGTGTATGATATAAAATATAAAAGTTTAGAAAACGGGCTATCTCGAACCTCATAGAAGGGTTTAGACTCTGGAACCTTTATCTTGTTAAATCGTGCTACACTCCTGGTTGGGTTTTGGTCTCTCACCGCTCTCATAGTGAGGTTTAGTTTGATATTTAGATCCGCCACGTCGGCCCTGACCATTCTAAGGGATTCTCTAAAGTCTTCAAACAATTTTGAGACTATCTGGACGATCGCCAGTTGAGCATTGTCTGAGCCCTTGACGCGTTCCTCTATTCGAGCAACAGAGCCTGTCGAACAATCCGTACGTTCAAAGATACTAACTCTTATGGCCTTGTCTTCTAGGGCCTCGATCCTAGTCATTAATTCAAGGATAGACATTGTTTCAAGGTGGTGTACCATCTCGTTGGGAACTTCACTCATGCAGAGTATTGTTCTTCGATTTTAGCTAATCGATCAGCCTGGGACTTCCCTAGTTGTTTCTTGGCGGGCATGTCTGTGTAATACTTTTTAAGGAGTCGAACTTGGCTCTGATATCACTTATCACAATCACAACGAACTTGCGATTGTGCTGCACTCACTTACCAGCAACAACTGAGTTAAACTCATTAGATAATGTATTTTTTTTTTTTATAAAAATTATATTAATAACCATTTTTTAAATATGGAAAGTTATTTTAAATATAAAGCTACTTTTTAAGAAAGGTTTAAAGTTTAAAGAATAATTTTATGGATAAAAAAGAATATATATTTT